TCTCTCTCTCTCTGTCTCTGTCTCTCTCTCTCTCTCTCTGTCTCTCTCTCTGTCTCTCTCTCTGTCTCTCTCTCTGTCTCTCTCTCTCTCTCTCTCTCTCTCTCTCTCTCTCTCTCTCTCTCTCTGTCTCTCTCTCTCTCTCTCTCTCTGTCTCTCTCTCTCTCTCTGTCTCTCTCTCTCTGTCTCTCTCTCTCTGTCTCTCTCTCTGTCTCTCTCTCTCTCTCTGTCTCTCTCTCTGTCTCTCTCTCTGTCTCTCTCTCTCTCTCTCTCTCTCTGTCTCTGTCTCTCTCTCTGTCTCTCTCTCTCTCTCTCTCTCTCTCTCTGTCTCTCTCTCTGTCTCTCTCTCTGTCTCTGTCTCTCTCTCTGTCTCTGTCTCTCTCTCTCTCTCTCTCTCTGTCTCTGTCTCTCTCTCTGTCTCTCTCTCTGTCTCTCTCTCTGTCTCTCTCTCTGTCTCTCTCTCTGTCTCTCTCTCTCTCTCTTTCTCTCTCTCTCTCTCTTGACCATTGTTCCCAATCACCTTGATTCTTTTCCAATCAATTTTACCATGATTTACATCTCCAACTACTACTAACAGATTCGTTCAAAGTCAGTGGAAATTTTTGTCTTAGGGGTTGTAGATAGTGAGTGCCCAACTTGTTCAGTCTACAACTGAAATACATCTTTCGACATGATGTTATTAAATAGCTCCAGGTGTTTATCTCCTTAGAATTGTTATTTTTAAGTCTTTTGTTGTTGCTACACAACATCTTCGCTGTTGCCTCTTTTTCTCTCTTCGCGTTAGCTGCATTATTTTTTTTTTTTTTTTTTTTTTTTTTTTTTTTTTTTGGGGGGGGGGGAATATTATGCCCGTGATGAATCCAGTTAACTGAGTCTCCACTGTTGTCATTTGTATCGGACTGTCTGTTCTGCCTGTTCTTCTGTTCTGTTTAACAGAACAGAAGAACAGGTACACGGTATCTGTTTACCAGGTATTCTATCGCGATGGTATTGTGTCTTCACTTGTGCCACTTTCAAACTTTGAAAGAAAAGGTGGTGGTATTGCCTGGGTATAAAATGGGGAGATTTGAGAACAATGGGTGAAATAGAGAGGGTTGAAGAGATGCTATGATGGTGAGGGAAATAGGGGGAAAATTAGGGTTTTTGTGGAAAATGGAGGGATAAGGGGGAAGACTGGGGGGTGTTCTGCAGGAAAATAATAGGTAGTTGAAAGGATTGTGAGAAGGAAAAGGGATTATTGAATGGGAAGAATCGTACTTCGAAAAAAATAGGTGGGAGATGAATGGTGGGGGGGGGGAGGGGATGTTCTGGGAGAATAGGGTGTGGAAATTGAATAGGGGTTTCGTTGTTAATTATAGTTGAGGAAGATGTGGGGAAATATTCATGAAATAACTAATGGGTGGCTGTTAGATGGTTGGTAGATTTTTTTTCGAGTGGTTGACAGTTTTCATTGTAGTGTGGTTGACAGGATTGACTGCTGGGGTGGTTGACAGGGCTGATTATTGGATGATTGGGAGGTTTGGTTTCTTGGGTAGTTGGTAGATTTTTTATTGTTTAGTGGTTGATAGCTGTGGTTGATGAATGATTTGTTAGGTTTGGTTGCTAGTTGAATGGTAGATTTGATTCCTGGGCGCATGATACGTTTGGTTAGGGGAATAGCTGGTAGGTCCGTTATGGGATGGATCAAGAGAGATTTGATTTAAGAATTCTATCCTATAAAGTTGGTTCTCGTACTTCCTTAGTGGGACACATAGTGAGTTCTTCCCTTTACTCTCCCTCTCTCTCTCTCTCTCTCTCTCTGTCTCTCTCTCTCTCTGTCTCTCTCTCTCTCTGTCTCTCTGTCTCTCTCTCTCTCTCTCTCTGTCTCTCTCTGTCTCTCTCTCTCTCTCTCTCTGTCTCTCTGTCTCTCTCTCCTTCTGGGACACATCTCTGAGTCTCTTCTCTCTCTCTCTCTCTCCTCTCTCTCTCTCTCTCTCTCTCTCTCTCTCTCTCTCTCTCTCTCTCTCTCTCTCTCTCTCTCTCTCTCTCTCTCTCTCTCTCTCTCTCTCTCTCTCTCTCATGGCTTCACAGCCATGGCATATAAACCTTTAGGGAACTCGTTAGTATGTCTCGTGTGATCTATAACTTTCATGTCGCGAGTTTATGCAGATCAGGGGCCAGGTAAGGCTGTTATGAGGTGAAAGCCCTAAGCCAGGATGACTACGTAGCACTAGAATGGGACGTGAGGAAAGGATATAGGAGTTCTGGGGTATGAAAGACAGGATTGGAGCTGGGATATGCGGAGAATGGCGTAAAGGAATGATGCCCAACCACTTGAACCGTCGGGGAATCGAACTGCGACCCGTAACAAAGACAGACGAGAGCAGGGACCAGGTGAGAGACATTTCGAAATCAGGAGGGATTCCTGATGACTGAAAACTTCGCTAAATCTTTTCAGGTAGTGTGTTTGAGGCCATAGGATCGGAATACTCGCATGTGAATTACACACACATGCTGTTTCTATGTTGGAACTCCACTTGTACCCTCAGTGGAACACGGGGATTTTATCTTTGTTAATGTCTATAGCCATTTTTCATGAAGTTATAATGTGTGTGTTGTCCAGCTTTACCGTGAAGTTAGTAGTGTCTTTAGCGAAGAGTGTGTGTGTGTTTACTCACCTAGTTGTGTTTGCGGGGGGTTGAGCTCTGGCTCTTTGGTCCCGCCTCTCAACCGTCAATCAACAATGTGTGTGTGTGTTGTGTGTGTGTGTGTGTGTACTCACCTAGTTGTGTTTGCGGGGGGGGGGGTTGAGCTCTGGCTCTTTGGTCCCGCCTCTCAACCGTCAATCAACAATGTGTGTGTGTGTGTGTGTGTGCCCTTCTGCTTGCATGTATGTACGTAGGGGGGGGGTGGAAGGTGGGTGAGGGAGTGTACAGAAGGTGTAAGATATTCGCGGTAGATTACACGGTAAATAGCTGGTGCCATACTAAAAACGTAAAAATCGAAGGCATTTGGTACGAAATGTGTCTGAAAGTGTTTCCTCATGGCAAAACAATCCCCCCCTCTCTGTCCCTCCCCCCCCCCCTCAAAAAACAGCATCTTCTCCAGTGACGCACGACAACAAGGAACGAACACACCTTTTTGTTTCCCCCCCTCCCCACCCCCACCCCCTCTACCTCCTCCGAAGGTAAAGGAGGGGAGGGGGGGGGGTGTAGGCAATGTTTTACACACAGACTCGTTAATTATTGCTGAGCAGAGAGAGCGTGTGCACAGACGCAGTCGCTGTTGTGTGCTCAGGACAAAAATCAATCCACTTTGTTGTACATCATACAGCGTGAAGTTAGATTTAGATATTCTCTGGATGTGGATATACGACGCAATTAGCTGTATGTATTTACTATGGGTACCTGCAGGGATATTAAGATGTTAGCTCTTAGAATCCCCTCTTTTCTAATCCCTCCTCTAAGACTTTCTAATCATCGGTTGGTTAAAGTTTTGACTTCCAACCTATTTTTCCTCTTATACCGTTTGCTACGTATATTTTTCTAACACATACCTCTCAACCTGGTCGCCCAGTTCCTGAAAGAATTGGGTAACACACCAATTATGGTTACAAGAGACTGTGGAACGAGAAGTTTGATTGATTGATTAAGATTTAGCCAACCAGGAGGTGGCACGGGCATGAATAGCCCGTAAACTTGAAAAGTTTGACGTTCCAGCGCCTTTAGTATTTGCGGTTCAGAGGAAAGAGGTACTTCTGCATCTTGAGTTCAAGCGTCCAGCCCCTAAGGACAAGGAGTTCGAGGTGTTTAATCTGTTATTGGTGTCAAGTTGATTTGTGATATCCATCAATCAATTCCTTCGGTCCGTTTTCTATTTTGCTTGTAATGCAAATTTTGTTTATTGCTAGTGTACAATTTGTAACAATGTACAATAACGTACACAATATATAGCAAATGTAAATAACAAATGTAAATTCGCATACATGGATAGATTAAATGAACAGTATTCACATATTTTACATAGGTTGAGCACCAAGAAACTATTACATTGGTTTTGTTAATTTAAAATTAGTTTTTTTTCTGTATTTACATAATTTACTTATGTTATATTTATGTTTATCGTGGTGGTTGACTGTTCTTATAAGCGGGTATTGGTGGAACATTTTCTTATAGCTCTCGTAAAATTTTAATGCAAACTCGTTTACTAAAAAATAATAATGTTTGCAAATGAATGAAAATGCATTCTTTCAAAGGGATCTCTTGGTGATAATATGGTTTAAATGAATTTGTTGTTTACTTAAGTGGAATGTATGTAGAGAACTCTCTTGGGGCTTTTGAAACAAAAAGTTATAGCAACTGTTTAGTAACCTGTGGAAGCTCCCTGATTGGCCGAAACCGGTTTGACTCTTGAGAGAGACGCATCTAAACCCCAAGGTGCGGTGAGAGGATGATTGGTTAGTGGTAAGCTCTCACACACACACACACACACACACACACACACACACACACACACACACACACACACACACACACACCCTCGGGCCAGCTTGGTCCGGAGGGAAGTGCCAGGGAGCCTGACACTTCCCAACACGGAGGCAGTTGAGGATATGGGCCTTGGTCACGGCACCTTCGTGACACTGACGGGTAAGTGCCGTGGCAGAGTGCGGCCGCCTCGCAATGTCCTGAATGACCCGCGTTCACTAGCTCTTAAAGAACATACAAGAGCTTAAGAGGTTAGCCAAGCAACCGACAAATCGTTTTCGGTGCTGAAAATGAGTTATTACCGAATGTTGCTTTGCAGCGGGATAACTTCGGAGGGGAAATTATATACGAGTTATTAGTATTCCTGTGCACTGTTGAGCTACAGGGAGCTGAGCACATCCCACGTGTGGTGCACAGGGCGGGGCCGACGAAGGGCAGCGGCGGCGCGTGAGCATGGCTTCAGCAGGAGCATGTGCAAGACTGAGCAGAGCAGACAGCAGCCTGGCCAGGCCAGGCAGCTCAGTGTGGCCCCAGCAGGTGTCGCTGACGGAGACGTGGAACACACACACTGGTGAAGTGACCGCTCGCCCACACGCTCCTCACACCACTGCCACAGCTGGTGGTGGTGATGGTGGTAGTGGTGGTAGTGGTGGTGGTAGTGGTGTTGGTGGGGTGAATAATGAGGTGGCCAGCAGTCTATCCGTAGCAACCTTTGCAATACTTGCAATGTTATATTAAGTGGCCTTTGGTAAACATGACACGTTGCAGAGCAAAGGTGAGCACGTTGCAGAGCAAAGGTGAGAACTTACCTGCCAAGTTGCGATGTGTAGCGAACATTTTATTATGAGATTTTGTATAGTTTCAGCTGATTTTCAGCATTAAATTTTTATTTTGGGCTAATATGCACATATGACATGTACGTATTTTACATATGAAGTTTGGAAAATATGTCAAACAGTAGACAGGCTGACGAGAAGTGCCTGAATCCTCAATCAATTTTCCTTTTAGCGTAAGAAAGAGTGGATTTTATAAATAGTGACCCGAAACATCTGGACTTAAATCATGCTCCATCACCCACTCCTTCGTCTGCTACTGCTTCTGCTGCTGCTCCTTCAGGCAGCCTCGAGCACCCTAGTTACTGAAGAAGGTTAGTGACCCAGATTCTTGTATTTTGTATTGACTGTATTATTTTGTTAATTGCAGGATACAACACCAATACAGTAGGTATAACCTATCTAGGATATGTTGACACTGCCAGATGCCTATTGCTGTAAAAAAGCTGTTTATTTTCAGTATTGGGAACATAAATCATGATTATATATATATAGATATATATATATACAGATATATATATATATATATATATATATATATATATATATATATATATATATATATATATATATATATATATATATATATATATATATATATATATATATATATATATATATATATATACAGAAATCACAATAGCGTGATATATCAATTAGTGATATATCCTTTTTACCATGTTGTGGCACAGTTGACTAAGGCGCAGCTGGGAACATCCCGTACGTAGGTTCGAATCCTCATCACGGTACCAAGACGTAGTTTGTCTCCGTTGTAACTTAACAGTGTAACGTCTTACTGCTATAAGTTCTTCGGAAGTTTGTAAAAACTTTCCTTTTATACGTCTAGTGAAAATGAATGTTTATGGGATGTCGATTTTTTTTTACTGGCCCTGGGCCAGGTCAACATCAATGGGCCAGGTCAGCATCAATGGGCCAGGTCAGCATCAATGAGCCAGGTCAACATCAATGAGCCAGGTCAGCATCAATGAGCCAGGTCAACATCAATGGGCAAGGTCAACATCAATGGACCAGGTCAACATCAATGAGCCAGGTCAGCATCAATGGGCCAGGTCAACATCAATGGGCCAGGTCAGCATCAATGGACCAGGTCAACATCAATGAGCCAGGTCAGCATCAATGGGCCAGGTCAACATCAATGGGCCAGGTCAGCATCAATGAGCCAGGTCAGCATCAATGGGCTAGGTCAACATCAATGGGCCAGGTCAGCATCAATGAGCCAGGTCAGCATCAATGAGCCAGGTCAGCATTAATGGGCCAGGTCAGCATCAATGGGCCTGGTCAACATCGTTTGTATTTTACAATACTATTCCTTCTGTATATCCTTTTTATTGGCCTGTCAAAAACGTAACTGGCTAGAGACTTATGACCACCGTGAAGGAAATAACAGGCAAAATATAGATTAAATATGCGGAGAATTAGTCACAATAGCCTGGCTGAACCCCCCCCCCCCCACAAATCGTACGGGAGGTGTGAAAGTGTGGGAACGTTTCGGTCCGTTTCAGACCAGTATCAGAGTCCTAATGACTCTTGGTAGTACAGTCATTAGTCTCTCGGTGGTACAGCTGGCTTTGTTCTCAACTCGCAAAAAGGGAATTGCGGGTTTGAATCCCCCTGGCGGATCAGAAATGATTGGGAACGCTTCCTATCACCTAATGCCTCTGCTCACCTAGCAGAGGTGAACTGACCACCCTGGGGAGGGTCAGTAGTTCGACCTTGAGAGGGGGAAGCTTAATATAAGCTCAACGTATATATATATATATATATATATATATATATATATATATATATATATATATATATATATATATATATATATATATATATATAATATAAAATATATGTATATAATATACACATTCATTCATACATACATATGCAGTCTGCCTGTCTCCGACAAAATGAATTAATTAAGCACACACAATTCCTGAAATACATATTTGAACTTTTACAATTATTTCAAGTTTCTGATATTGCTACAACCTCCAATATATTTCACCTTTCACGAATCGGCATCTTTCGCTCTACAAATGGGTCACCAATCCGTCTGCTGTCCTTAACTTTGCCTATTCAACAATCCTAGTGTTAATCTCGAATGTGTTCATCATTCACCTTGCGAGAAAATGATTTCTAAAACGCAGTGTCATTCAATGTGAATAACTTAGGCATAAAGATTATTTTTATCTTAAAAAGAATCCCTAATCTGTCTTCGATACAAGATCAGAACCCATCGCCCAATCGCAGGTTAACATTCCTCCAATCGTAGCTTAACATCCCCCAATTGCAGCTCATCCCTAATCGCAGCTTAACATCCTCCAGTGGCAGCTTAGCTTCCCCAATCGCAGCTTAACATCCCCCAATCGCAGCTTAACATCTTCCCAATCGCAGCTTAACATCTTCCCAATCGCAGCTTAACATCCCTTAATCGCAGCTTAACATGCCCCCAATCGCTGCTTAACATTCCCACAATCGCAGCTTACCATGCCCCCAATCGCAGCTTCCCATCCCCCAATCGCAGCTTAACATTCCCAATCGCAGCTTAACATCCCCCAATCGCAGCTTTCCATCTCCCAATCGCAGTTTAACATTCTCCCAATCGCAGCTTAACATGTCCCCAATCGGAGCTTCCCATCCCCCAATCGCAGCTTCGATACCGTCCATGCACTCCGGTACCAGGTTAAATAGTAGCCAAACCTCTCATCACCAACTCTATCTATTAAGAGGAAATTGAAGACAAACACTTGACGGGCACAGGACGTCCTCGGACACCAAACACCTGTTACCACACGTGTCCAACACCTGTTACCACACCTGTTTTCCACACACCTGTTTCGTAGCTCTCCCAACGCATGTGTCCTTGCCTCCCTAAAACAATTATTTCACGTTCGCCCATTATTAAATCACAAACACACATGTAAGCCCAAGTTCGGTAAATTATGTGAGCTTAAGCTTACGCTCTAAGCTTACGCTCTAAGCTTACGCTTTAAGCTTATGCTCAAAGCTTACGCTCTGTCGAAGCCGGATATAAGCTTGACTTCATCGATTGGGGGTAGGGGGGGGGGACAATGATGGGGGAGGGGGGTTTAAGGGACAATCATTTCGCCCTATTTATACTTATAAGTTTCACATTGATGTCTCCAAGTAAATATTTTCTAGCTTACCACTTGTAGGTTTTTCTAGAACTCTGGACACAGGTTGATATCACCTTTCCGACCACTTGGGGGTTAAGTTGTCCACTTGGTAGTATTGTATCTTCAAGAGTCGAAGTGGTTGGGCACTGTTCCTTTATTCCGTTCCGCATGCCTCCATGTTTCTTGTCCCTCATATGTCCCCTTCCAATGGTTATATAGTCATGCTAGCTTAGCGGTTTCACCCCCCCCCCCCTCGCCTCATAATTACTTTATGCCCCTCATAATTACTTTATGCCCCTCATATGCCCCTCATAATTACTTTATGCCCCTCATAATTACTTTATGTCCCTCATAATTACTTTATGCCCCTCATAATTACTAATGACTCTGGCAACTTCGGGATAGCAGTCGTGTGAGGTGATTATAACGAGGTTCAACATGCAATAATTACACAGATCAGAAAGTAATTCTGGGAAGCATCAACTTCCTAACAGCTCAGAATGTTGCTTTATTTTGCAATTGCAAACCTTTAATCACTTGATCTAGAGGGATTCCAATCCTCTTTGTCTAAAAGGATTCCAACTCCCTTTGTCTAGATTCCAACTACTTTGTCTAGAGGCATTCCAATCACCTGATCGAGAGGCATTCCGACAAACTAATCTAGAGGGGGGTTCCAATCATCTGGTCTTGCGGGATTATAACCAATCAGCCACCAGATCTAGAAGGGGAACTGTCAGGGATAAAGTGCCAAGCCATGACGACTATGTAGCACTGGGAAGGGATCAGGATAAGGATTTGGGATTGGATGGGGGTAAGGAATGGTGCCCAACCACTTGGACGGTCGGGGATTGAACGCCGACCTGCATGAAGCTAGACTATCGCTCTACCGTCCAGCCCAAGTGGTTGGACCCACCAGATCTAGAGAAAGTGAGTATTCTGATTTAATGGTGTTAACAGTTCAGTTTTACAGTCACAACTCTCACTTATACCTTTACAAATAATTAAACATTTCTCGGCTTCTAAATTATATTATTTGTCAGTGTCTTAAATCCAATTGTATTAGTTGTCTGCACGATATTTGTCACTGCTCGATTTGTCCACAGTCTCTTTGTCCACGCTCTCTCTCTGCCCATGGACCATTTGTCCACGCTCTCTCTCTGCCCATGGACCATTTGTCCACGCTCTCTCTCTGACGCTCTCTCTCTGCCCATGGACCATTTGTCCACTCTCTCTCTCTGCCCATGGACCATTTATCCACGCTCTCTCTCTGCCCATGGACCATTTATCCACGCTCTCTCTCTGCCCATGGACCACTTGTCCACGCTCTCTCTCTGCCCATGGACCATTTGTCCACGCTCTCTCTCTGCCCATGGACCATTTGTCCACGCTCTCTCTCTGCCCATGGACCATTTATCCACGCTCTCTCTCTGCCCATGGACCACTTGTCCACGCTCTCTCTCTGCCCATGGACCATTTGTCCACGCTCTCTCTCAGCCCATGGACCATTTGTCCACGCTCTCTTTCTCGACGCCCCATTTGTTCACGACCTTATGTGTCCATTTTGCCTTTCTCGACGCGTCATATTTGTCCAAGCTCCATTTCTCCACGTATGTTTTGTCCACGCTCCTTTTGTCCGCGATCGTTTTGGCCATTCGTCAAAAGCCCAAACTCCATTGGCCTATAATACTTAATCTCGGCACTTACTCTCCCGGCATTTGTTGACGAAGTTTATCACAAGGTAACCCCACGATGTATTATAGACATTTTAACATTTAGATGGATGCATATTTGGTATAATTTGTTGTATATATATAATCATCAAAATCTAAATTTAAACGTTAATATGCTTAGATGTTAATAATTGGTTTCCAATAGCGTTTAAATTATGTTCGGACTGTCTTAAACTGGTGTTCGAAATTGAAAAGATAATCATAAATACATATTTATCAGTTGTATACAAGATTACAATACATTATTTACATAAATCATTATAACAGTATAGTATATAATTAGTATTTATTTATTATTATTTACTGTATAATCAAGATTTATCACCCTGGACTTGATAAGACTGAAAGTCTTATATATGTAGCTAAGTACATATAATGTGTGGTGACTTATCAGTATCAATCGTGTAAATTCATCACTTTTTTCTATGTGCTTTT